AGTGTTTACTGCTCTGCTTCAATCTGAGAGGTACAAAAGACAAATTCTCTACCTCCCGTTTCCAAATCTTTTGACCCAAATGACATGAAACTATCTCTTTTACTGCCTGCTTATTAGAGTTGGGAACTGAGGGAGAAAAAGCCATCTCTACTGGAGGTCTAAAGCCAGTCCGCCTTGGCTTTTTGAACAATCCACTCTGTTGTGCATCTTTAAATATTGGACAATTTTTCTTCTTGGTTTTTGGTGGTGTTGACAGCTCTTGAATGTCTGCTTGAACATGTGTTCATCTAATATGAGCTTTTTCAGTAAAGCTACATGCACCTCATTATCAATCAGATGCAACTAACTATTTATTTTATTAATGGCCTTGATGTGTTTTCTTAACATCACATCACATGTGGCAAGCTGTCAGGATTTTAATTAAAACTTATTTGAGGAAATAGTCATAATTACTATATTAATGCACTGTGCTTGTGATTGACATTAACAGATGTTTAGAGAAGTCAGGTATGTGTGTGTGTGTATATATATATATATATATATATATATATATATATATATATATATATAAATGACTGAATACATATAATAATAATAACCATTTTAATTAGAACTTAAATGTCTATACTTAGCAGAAACATTTTAGTTTAATCATTAAGCAAAATAAATAGGGCTGTCAAACGATTAATCGCGATTAATCGCATCCAAAATAAAAGTTTCTGTTTACATAATATATGTGGGTGCACTGTGTATAATTATTTTGTATATATATATAAATACACACACATGTATATTTAAGAAATTTTTTATTTATATATAAAATATTTATATTTAATTATATAAAATTATATATAAATCTATATACAGTATATACATGAAAACATTTTTTTTAAATATATATATATATAAAATAATTATACACAGTGCACCCACATATATTATGTAAACAGAAACTTTTATTTTGGATGCGATTAATCATGATTAATCGTTTGACAGCCCTAAAAATAAATATACAAATTCACATAGCTGTGTTGTACTGTTAATGCATTTTAAATTGTAATTTTAAAGTTTCATTTTCCGCATCATTACTCCAGCCTTCAGTGTCACATGATCCTTCAGAAATCACTCTAATATGATCATTTTGAAAGAAGCAAATAACAATTCATACAGTTGTGTTGCTCAATATTTTTGTGGAAACCTTAATACTTTTGAGGGGTTCTTTAATGAATAGAAATCTCAAAACAACAGCATTTATTTGAAATAAACAAAAATTTTAACAATGCAAAAGTCTTTACTGTCACATATTTGTATCTATAATATAAAATGTTGTGATTTTGAGACTCGTTGAGGGATTCTTTAATGAATAGAAAGTGAACAGCATTTTTTATTTTTTTGTAACAATGTAAAAGTCACATTTTGTATTTATAATATAAAATGTTGTGATCTTATGATTTGTCATTAAAGAATTTACTGCTAATTTTTGTAATTTAGATGAACATTTTAGCAAATAACTGGAATGTCAGTGAAGGATATAAACATGTATGATTAAGTTCGTGTTAGGATAAAGAATCGTGTCAACTACTCACTTTAAAACCTTCACTGTTTCCAGAACTCATGCCAGAAAACAATCAGTTCTGGGTTACAGGGTTTGACAAACATATTTATGCTCCGTGTCAGAGACCAAAGAATACGATTTGTTTTGGAAGCAGCCCGTGCCGTGTTGGAGAACAGTCGAGGCTTAGGGGGGGAGCGTTGAAGTAGCTAGTTTTGTCTGGTACTGATTAATGATAACTGAATGTATCTGTCGCTTATAGTAACTGGTCCTCATAAAACAACTCCATGACGTTTATGGTCTTCAGATGTCCATTTATTTCAACATGTACAAGTGTTTTTCTTTAAATTACCTTTATCTAAAGTATGGAAAAAAGAGACAATATTCATAGGCTTCTTCTTTTTTTTGGCCTAGCTAAAGAAGTTTTTGTAACACTTTACTGGAAGGGGTGTGCACAAGACTGGCATGACACCTTCATAACCATGACATATGTCTTATGGTTTATGCATGTTTATGACAACGGTCATTAAGTGTCTTTCGCTCAGTTATGACATTTTGAATGCAAATATGACATTAAGATGACATCTTGACATAAACCAATACATCATAACCTGTCGGTGTCATGACATCTTGACATTAAATTAAGTTAAACTGTCATGTGGTTGGCTTTGACATTGGCTGTCATGAGGCATTGTAACTGTGTAATGAATATTTTTCGTGACCTCAACTACAGTGGTACTAATTGAATTTGTCATTAAAAAGTTATAATGGCTTCATGACAGCCAATGTCAAAACCAACCACCTGACAGTTTAATATAATGTTAACCAATTAAAGCTAGGTGGTTTCTAAAGTTTGATAATTATTCTGCTATGTCATGTTTATGACAGGTTGTGTTGTCTAAATGTCAAGTTTTCATGACAAAGACTCTGACAGGTTATGATGTACTGGTTTGTGTCAAGGTGTCATAACAAAGACATCTCAAACTATGTCAAATTTGCATTAAAAATGTCATAACTGAGCGAATGACACTTAATTACAGTTGTCACAATTCAAACATGGATAAAACTTCATATTCATAACATATGTCATGTCATGATTATAAAGGTGTCATGTCAGTCTTATGCACACCGCTTCAAGTAAAGTGTTACCAAAGTTTTTCAGACTTTGCAAAGTAATACTTGTATATATGTACCTAATGCGATTTCTGATGTGTAAACATTGTGTTGTGTGTAATCAAAGGTAAATGCAACGGATAGTGTGCTTTCTCACACTTCGCCGGTCGTTGAAATGCACCAGTGTTTGATCTGCCCCTGCCTCCGTGTGTCTAGGAGGGACAAATTACAGCACTGCATGTTGGGAAAGTCAGGCAGCAGCGATGATGAAAAGCACTTTTCCACTCTGGCCCTCGTTTATTGTCTAGATGGGCAGAGATGGCATCTAGCTGTTTTGCTCTCTTTCGTCTTCTCCTGCTCTTTATCCATACTGGTTCGGCAACGAGTCAGATTGTGAGAGGCTGTTTACCGGGTAACAGATCTCAGATTTGATTTGTTTTTTTGCTTTTCAACTGATTGGACTTTTTCATAATATAGGTAAAACCTTGCACTGAGATTATGTTTGATGGATAGGGCTCCAGTGGGCATTTATGATAACATCATCACAGCTTTTGCTTCGGAAAGATGGATAAAAAGCAAGAAAAGAAAGATGGCACATTTAATGCATTTAGATGGATTTCTATACACACACACTCACCAGTAATCTGGATGACCAAGGCTGTTTATTTGATCAAAATTACAGTACAAACAGTAATATTGTGAAATATTATTACAATTCAAAATATATCTATATATTTTTTATATTTTTTAATTTTATATTTTATTCTTGTAATCAAAACTGAATTTTCAGCATCATTACTCCAGTCTTCAGTGTCACATGATCCTTCAGAATTAGTATAGGGGTGTTTATAGATATATATAATCATACCACAATATATCACAATACAAAAATGCAACAATACGTATCGTGGATAGTGACAATATGTATCATGGATAGTCCCCCCAAAATAAGGAAATTATGTATATAAGTTTTCAGAGTTTTAGTGTCAGTACTACATTAGATTTAGACATATATAATCTTGATTATAATGTATAATAATACAATGGGGGAATATTTGTGGGTCCTGATAATGCCAAATGAGTTATGTTACCAGTAAAAAGTGGCCGACATTTCTTTAAATATATCTAGTCAGTAAAAGCGTGCAAGCATATTCATCTACAATAACTCAGTAATTTCAGCTTCAGAATCATGAATATTGTTTTTCTGTTACAATTGTCCTTGAGAAGTCTAAGCCTATTCATTTAAACCCACAATGTAATATCAAATTTAGCATTTCAATCAACAGTACATTTTTTGTTAACCTTTTTCCATATGTCTTGGAGTATCGCAATAATATCATATCGTGATTTGTATCAGATTGTGAAATGAGGGTATCGTTACACCCCTACTGTAATATGATGATTTGCTGCTCAAGAAACCTCTATGATTATTGTCACAGTTGAAACGTTCAGAAAACGCTCAAAAGAAGAGCATTTGTTTAAAATTGAAATATTTTGTAACATCATACATATCTTTACCATCACTTTTGGTCAATTAAATGTGAAAAATATGAATTTCTTAAAAAAAAGAAAAGCTTACTGACCCCAAACTTATAAATGGTATGTAATATTTATCCTAGGTTAGATTTAGACATCGGCACTCTTGAAATTGCTCAGATCCGAGAACCAAAACTAACTGTTGTAAATATAAAAAATAAAGGGTCTTCTTTTATACAACATCATAAATGCCAGTCTTTGAATCTATGATACTTGATGAGCTTGTCGGAACAGGAAAATAGTGTTATTTTATTTATTTACAGATGATCTTGCAAAAAAAGATATTAATAACATGATTTGCCCTGCCTTGAACTACCAAACCTCTCAGTTTATGTAAATACGGTTAGCATGTGAAGCTAAACCCATCAATGAATGGCCATTGTCCAAGCACATCTACTGATGCATTTAAAATAAACATGGTTTTTTGGGTGGGGTGTCAGTTTGACAGTCGATTTCCAACAGGAAGTGCACACTTATAGAAAATCATTGGTGTTTCTGGAGGCAATGTCACATTCACTTACCTACAGGTTTGCAGATTGTTCGTTAAGCGAGAGTTTTGAGCAGCTCTTTGTTTCCTTTATTTGGAACAGAACAAAGGGCCATTATGCAGACGAAAATAGCTGACTTAACCGTAATTACACAACATTACAGACCTAGCTCAGAGACGTCAGATTAGGAGAAAGCACGCGTAAATGTGATGTGCATTTGTCTCTTAGGGGTAATAGGGGAAACGACGGTTTCCTGATCTTTTAAGAATGCTAAAAATGATCCCTGAGACCATCTCTTGTCCTCTTCGCAGGAGAGTTCACGGCTGCTGTCGTTGTCGGCGTTGTAGTTTCACTGCCACGGACACCTCGGCTCTGCTGGATCACTTTAACTCGGTCCACTGCCAGGACCCCACAGATCCGGCTTCGGCTCCGGCCAACGGATGCTCGGCCCCTTCAACCCTCCGCATCAAAGAGGAGAGCAAAGGGGATCTGAAACTCTACAGCCTGGTGACCCCGGAGCCCAGCCGAGCCGAGACGCTGCCCGTGAAGAGCGAGGCCCAGGACGAGAAGGAGAAGGGCTGGTTTGAAGGAGTCCGGGGCGGAGAGCAACACGTGCAGAGTCTGGTGTGGGTCCCTAAAGAGCGCGCTGGGGAGATTCTCAGGGGAAGCCCTGCCCCGTTCCCTCAATCCACACTGGGTCTTCTGAACGCGGTGACCTCGGGGGTTAAAGACCAGCAGAAGCTTCGAGACTCGTCGGGACTGATCTTCAGCCTCAGCGCTGATGCCAAAGCCTTTCTGCCGGGGGCGCCGGCGAGCGGAGAGAAAGCCGGACAGCAGTTCCCAACCTCGACCGAGGGCAAAAGTGCCAAGGAAGAGTCTCAGTCACTCCTACGGGTAAGAGATGACAGTCCACTCTGTTTGGACTTCATGCATTTCCTTTCCAGTTATTAACACTCTGGGGTCTGAGGGGTTTTCCGGGCCCTTGATGTGTTTCGTGCTTATTTCTGTTACTTATAATGTTTTCAGCACAAACTCTGCTGCGATAATATGTGAGCAGCATGCATTTACAAGTTTGTAGTTTTGAGAAAATGACGTTTTTTCATTGTAGGCTAACATAAGTTCTCGTTTACATATGTGTGTGTGTGTGTGTATATAATTATATTTATATATTGTGTGTGTGCGCGTGTCTGTGTGTGTGTCCACGTGTCTGTCAAGAATATCAAGAATATATATATTATTGGATATATATACAGTATATGTGAGGGTGTGTGAATATATAAACAAATATATTATATATATATATATATATATATATATATATATATATATATATATATAAATATATATATATATATTTAAATATATATATATTAGGGCTGTCAGTTTAACGTGTTATTAACGGCGTTAACGCGAACCCATTTTAACGGCGTTAGTTTTTTCACATGCTTTTGCAACAGGACGCGGCATACGTCCTGATCCATTTCGGCGTCTCGTGCTCGTCATCCACTCAAAGCCTGCTCGCAAGCCCAAACGTGTGTTTGCGGCGTGCCTGTTGTTTTGTTTCCGTTCTAGCTAGATCCGCTTGCGCTTTGGTCAAAGCAACAAAACGTCCTCGCGCAGCGCAAGCCATTGAAATGAATGGGTTGAGAGCGCAGCGCGAGGACGTTTTGTGCCGCACACACTCGTTTCGTCTTGCGAGCCGGCCAAATAGTAACGTTACGTTTTGAGTGGATGACGAGCGCGAGACGCCGAAATGGATGCCCTTAGAAGATTCTGAATGGAAAGTTTACTTTTAAAAAGTTGCCAAATTGTCCCATTGACAAGACCAAGTGATCTGTGTGTTTTGTCGTTGTGAACTGAGCGATCATCATTGCAGCACGTCCAGTCTGAAACACCACTTGATGATGGCCAAGCAAACACACACACACACACACACACAGATGATGCGAATTCTCCACCCCCTCGTCAATATCAGGACCTCGTCAGTATTTCAGTGTTACAGTGTTACATTGTGTGAGAGATTATTTATATGTTAGTGTGAAAATGAACACTATACCAATGTTATTTTCAATAATAATAATAATAAAAAACATTTGCACTAAACAAGCCGATCCACTTTTCCATGTTGACAAGAGCATTAAAATGAGAAAAAAATAATGCAGCAAAAAGAAATCAAAAGACATTTAGAATAGATAAAAATGTGCGATTAATCGCGAGTTAACTATGACATTAATGCGATTAATTGCGATTAAATATTTTAATCGTTTGACAGCACTAATATATATATACTGTATATATATAATTACAGGTTGTGTTTTCTGTACAATAAATTGCTACAAATAATTTAATAAGAGTACATGTATACGATCAACAAATCTGAGATGTATAGATATAAAGCATTGACCCGTTCTGAAGCTCTCTCACACTGGCGGTGACCTGATCTGAGAACAGCTGCCAGTGTTTCTGTCGGGATGGAGGAGCAGTGTCCATGACAGTCAAGTCTTATCAATTGCTTTGTGCCTATCATACTGAGCAGCCTGCTTGTTGACAAGCTCAAATTGTTTGTGTGTGTGTGATCATCCTTGTTTGTGTTTTAATGAAGTCAGTATGTACAGAGACCCTCTGCAGCTTAAAAACCTGGACACACTAATTGATGGAGTTATGCAGCCATCGAGATCCTCATGTCTGAGAGACAAACACAACTAAAACAAATGGAGCATATACGCTATACACTTAAATCTGATGGAAAGATATAATAGGGAGTACAAGGGCATCACAGGTGACAAATTCCAAAAAAAAGACCTTTACCCTTAAATTTTGGGTTACCCAATGGCTGGGTTTATCCATATTTGACCCAAAATTGGGTTAAAACAACCCAGAGAGCTTTAAACTTTTAAAAATGCTGGGATGTTTTAACCCAATTTTGGTTCAAATATGGCCAAACCCAGCCATTGGGTTACTTTTTTAAATTAAATTTGTAACCCAATGTTCGAGTTTGTCCACATTTGACCCAAAATTGGGTTAAAACAACCCAGCATTTTAGAGTGGATATAATGGCTGTAAGTCTTATATCTGTAACAATGTGTTTGCGTTTCTGCCGCCTGTATTACACGGTCTCTGTCAATCGGAAAACATGGTGAATCTGACACAGTGGTTTCAGCTGCACAGAAGCATGTGTTGCAAGTCTATACAAATCAGGACATATAGTGTCACTGTGATACGAGTAGCGATCAGGGCTTCTTTTCCACGCAGTTGTTAAAGGTGAGCAGAAAAGAGACAGGCGGAGACTGCTTAAAGATGCACGGCTAGTGAAAGCGTAGTTCTACAAAGGCTTTTTTATGTAATGTATTCACTGTCTGACATTTCCAGCAGAATTGGGATGCGGTTAAATGTTAAACGCAAACCCAAGGTCGTGCGATGGTGTGTGTATTCAACAGCTCTGTATATTTATGTGTGCGTTAAAGCTCCCCATTCTTCTTTGATCTTCACGTCGACTGACAGCGAGAGGAAGGAGTGGCTGTCCCGCAACTTTCTGACATAATTTCCGCTTGTTTGCCTGTGTGTTAACGCTGAGAGGCCCCTGCTGGGAATCGTTCCTTCCTGTGCACCTCGGATCCAAAAGGCATCACTGTCTGATGTAACTGCCCCACAAAAAGAAAAGCAAGGGGAACGGGAATGGGTTTTCCTCCCTGGATGGTTCTGGAAAGGGTTGGCAGGAGAGAAGGCCAGGCGTGGTCCACTCGGTGGTTAAGTCATTAGGCTAGGCGTGTCGAGAGTGTGTGAAAGCGTCGGGGTGGAGGTGGAGGCCTCGCTCTAGCCTTCAGGAAATGTTGAATCAGAACATTTTTTGGGACTGCTAGGGCTTAATGGGACTCAGAAGGGATCTGAAGTCCGCCACAATATTGTTTTGAGTTACCATGACTTGGTGTGTGACTCATCTATCGTATTATGAAACCCGGCTCGGCCAGGGAGGGGAACCTGAAGAACCCCGTCTGGAGCCGGAGCTCACACACACCTGATTCAGGTCTCGGAGAGGAGATAACTGAGTCTTTGTAATGAGGGGTTTGGCTTGGGAGGTGCTTTTAGAAATGGGAGAGCTAATGGTCTCTTTCCTACTCTTCTTGTTTTTTGTTGCATATTTGATAATAAATGCCTATTTAGTGAAGCCAACATTGATCTACTGTCTTATTGCATGAACAAGAAAGGAACAAAAAGAGATTTTGATGTCTGCACACAATAGTGAAACCGTGATTCATCATTTTTTTTTATTTATTTATTATTTTAGTCTTCCCTCCTCCACATATTAGATAATGTGTTCACATTATATGCCACCTTTGGCTAACTTTCATTAGCCGTTTGCATTTATTAAGAAAAGAAAGACCAGCATCGCCTACAATTTCTACAATGTTCTTCCAGCCTCCAACTTTGTAGAGTGGGATACAGTTAAATGTATTTTTTTTTTCCTCCACAGTTTTGAGTTTATTTTATGAGACGCATGTACTTTTGACAAAATGAGCATTTAAAACGATTATTTTTTTATTCTATTTTTTTAAGGGTCAAATGTGCCTGTCCAGTTGAATTGTTGATTTGATCTATGTTGGGCAAACCTTCAACTTCAGATTATTTTACACTCAACTATGAACATAATTTTCCCTCAATGATGAATCATTGAGCAATAATTTAGACGGTCTGGATGCCAGCCTTTCTTTTGGAGAAAAACTTGTAATGTATAATTTTTGTTCATTATGAGCCATAGAAACAATTGTATGTTAATTTTTTGTGTGTATGTATGTATGTATGTGTATATATATATATATATATATATATATATAGTTATTTATATATAAATATATATATATAAAATATAAATATAAAATATAAATTATATATAGTAATTATATATATATATATATATATATATATATATAGTATATTATATATATATATATATAATTACTATTTATAATTTATATTTTATATTTAACAATTTAATACTTTTAGTTTTCATGTTAATTTTTCATTTTTATTTTTTTTATTTCAGTTTTTCCTAAGTTTATTTATTTGCAGTAAATAATTTTAATGCTTCAAATTTCAGTTTACTGCCAAGGTAACATTTCTAGATTTCATTTAGTTTTTCAACTAATATATATTTACATATATATATTTTTTTTATTTCTGCTTTATTTCAATTTCAACGGATTAGTAGGTTTAGTTTTAGTTAACAATATTAACCCTGATCTATATTCCTCTCCATATTTACACCTATGCATTCATATAAGGATAGTTTAATCCGTTTTTTTCTGACGTCTCGCATTGTTATAAAACATCTAGGGCTGCCCCGATTAAAGATTTTTATAGCCGACTTAAAGTCCTTCATTTGAGACATTAATTGACTAAATGTTTGTTTATATGAATTAAAATAGTTTAATATAGACTGCGGGGGATACTAAACCCCGCATAATATAGCCTATTCCCCACTCAAACACACACATAGCTTGCTGCAAAGCACCATCAAAAGTAATGATTATGAATGTGGCAAGGACACATTTTGATTATGTATTAGTCAGTGTATCCATAATCAGAGAGAATGTGTCTTCTATTTGAAGTGGTTAATTTAAAAGTAGACATTTCAAGCTTTCTATAGATATATTTCTCATGTCTGTGAGGTAGGCTACTCTGAGTTTCGCTTCATTGATGTGACGCGTTCCAGTTCACGGAGACCGAGACGGCAGAAAGCGCATTCTGTTTGTTTTCTTTATTTTACAAAGGCACACTCCTGTTGTTATTGTGAGGTATCTCTGGCTGCATTTACACTGCAGGTCTTCATGCCCAAATCCGATTTTCTGACTATACCTGATTTTTTGGACGACCCGCTTACATCATCTTTTAAAAGT